CGCGAGAGTGCAAGATGTCCTTGCAAGACAACGTTGTTCTCCTTCAAGTTGTTCTCCTCCTCTAGTCCGGGGAAATCAGTTCGAGATTTGTCGCTACCTTGATCCGCGTCCGATTCCTGACCAATTCGACGAAGGATCCCCGATGGCGGGGATCCGCATACTTAGCTGCCTTGCGATCAAGGTACCGCAGTAGCGGTACCACCTACTCGCAAAGCACTTCCGTCGGCGTGCCTTGCACCAACTCCATTTCCTGCTCCTCGAAACCCGAATCGTCCTCTAAGTCGAGGATCTCTGTCGCCACAGAAATCCTCGGCGATTCCTTGGAACTGGGTCGCGCAGCTTCTTCTGCCGCAACCGCCGCTCCACTCCCTGCCAACATCTCCGATGGGGTGGGAGATCTCACTTCCGGCGGGCCCGCTTCTTTTGCCCGATCTGCTATCGCCGAAGGCGTCTGTGCCGAAGGCACACATGTCTCCTCCTATCGGCGATCGTACTCCGCCGATTCCTCAAATTGGGTCTGCGCCAAAGGCGCTTCCGCCGTAGGCGTCTGACCCGAAGTCCTCTAAGCCGAAGGCTCCTCCCTACACTTCTCATGCGCCGAAGGCGCTTGTGGCGAAGGCTCCTGATCCGAAGTCGAGTCGTCGAAAGGTACTTGCTCATAGGCGAAGCACCTGTCCGTCGCTGGCACGCTGGTCGGTGCCGCCTGATGTCTTCTTTGGCCCGAAGGTCTTCGCGCTTCCTCCATAGGCGTCCGTGCCTTCGGTGCCGGAAGGTCCGCCGTTCTCCCAGGAACTCTTGCACTTGCATCTTCTCCCGAGGATGGCGAATTTCTCCTCTCCGCGGCTCGTTTAGTGTATGCGTTACTTGCCGGCAGAACAAGCTTGCGAGCTTTCTGCTTCGGCCGACTGGAGGGCTTGTGGGTCGCTAGACTTTGGGCGGGGCCAGCGGGCGCTCCTCGCTGACTCTAGTCCGCCTCCCCATCCCATTTCCGCTTCCGCGGCACTCGTACTGCCCGCGGTTCTTCCTCTGCTCGCGGTCGAGCTTGTGGTGTGCATGCGGACGTCTCGTCTGTGTCGGTGTCGACCTCGACATCCTTCACGAATCTGCCCGGATTGCTGCGTGACAGCAATGAAAATTGAACTCGCTCTGATGCTGTCAAGCATCCCATCAACCGATAGAAATTAATCAAGAAGGAGGAGAGGTGATTGATCGATACCCCCTTCTCCTCATGCGCGTGCTGGCGCGTTGCCTTCCACAGAATCCGAGCCCAATGGATCGGAACTCCTGTCAACGCCAGCTCCACAAACCCCACCTGCCAAGAAGTCATGTAGGTGGTCCGGTGCGGCTGCAAAATCTGGAGGAGTGCTACCGCGACATTCCTCCGCAAGCGATCCTTGTAGTCACGGGTCTTGTACCCGTTCTTGCTGGACTTGCTGTTCTTGAAAAGGGCATCAAAGGAAATCTCTTCTTCCTTCGCGACCTGCACACTCTCGCATTCGAAGAGAAGGTCGTCTTCTTCTCCCGCGCACCTTCCCAAAACTTGTTCCCAATCATTGACCTGCCACCTCTCCGGATGCGGTCGGAAACCGCGCGGAGGTTGGTTCCTCTCCCGCAGCCACTAGCGGACCATCTCCGGACACACCCAATTCCATGTCCATAGGAGGAAATTGAGCTTCACCGCCAACAGCTCGTTCTGAAATGCGCGATGTCCAATCTGCGGCACTTTCAGTGGAACCATCTGCAGCTGAGTGGACCGGGCCATCTTCTTGCAAGTTCCTGCGCACTCTGTTCGATGTTGACGCGAGCTTCTTGCAACTCCTCTGCACTCGCTACTGCGCGTCAAGAGCTCGGGTGGACTCGCTGCAATTTCTCTCTACACTTCTCGCGCACTCACTCAATCTTTCCGCGAGCTCTCCGCGAATTCTCCACAAGACTTCCGCAAGATTCTACTGCTGCGCAATCCTGCACTCTCAAAAATCCGCACACTCTCCTCGCACTCAGAAATCTCTCCGCAAGATCACCGCGAATTGCCCTGCTGTGCGTCGCGAGCTCCGGCGGATGCAAAATTGAAAATGTGAGAGTGAGAGTGAGGACGAGTTCTTTCCTTCGGCGATCAAGATCGTCCAACGTTCGACACTTGGACTGGCCGCGGCCCGCTTGAATGCGATGCCGGCGCGGAGGCGTAACTGCCCAATTCGCACGCTCGAATTCACGCTCCGCCGTTGCGCAGACTTCCACGCGTGTACGTTCAAAGGTGCTCGCGGTGAAGTTACTGAACTTTCGCCAACTCCTTTGTCTTTTCTTCCTCCGCCAAAGGCGCATCTTTCCACCGAAAGAGAATCCTAGAGGCGAAGTCCTTCCTTATGTCGAAGGCGAAACCTATCGACAAAGGCGCTAGTGCCGAAGGTGTTGGGGCGAAGTAACTTACTGCCGAAGGCGTACGGCCGAAGGCGAACAAAATGACAAGGTCGTTTTTTCCCGTGACGAAGGCGTCTATCGCGCATGCTTCGTACGTCTTCAGCGACAGATCCTCTAGATGCGTCTGCGCCGAAGGCGCATCGCCGAAGACACTTCACAAAAGGACCTGTTGCCAAAGGCGCTCTCCCCAGCAGGAACCGTCTGCTCCGTCCAAGGTGCTGGAACTCGGCCTAAGCCCCCCTCAACTCCTAGATTCTCCGTGACCCTCCCTTTTTACTCTATTTTATGTACCTATTATTATTTACAGTTGCTGCCGCGATACTTATTTTCCAAAAAATGTTTTAATTCCGAACAAAAACAAAAAGTGGGTTTTCACAATGCAGACAAATAATGAATGAATGCAATGACCAAACAATCAAACATTATCTTTTTGTTTTTTTTTTTTGTTTTCAAGATTTTGGATGTAGTTTTGAAAACAAATAACATGGATGTCATAATCAAAGATGCAAGTTTCATAAGGTCTACTTCATGAACAAATGACATTGCTCACTTGTTGTGCATTCTATATTAGAATTTAGGTCTCTAGGCTTGCACTCTAGCAAGCATGATAGTGTATAGATCATCATAATCAAAAGTAGTGCTACAAATATATAATTATAATCTGTGAGTTTGTTTTGAGGCTAAAAGAGTAGGCTGAATCTCAAACTCTGATATCAATTGTCATACATATTTCCAAAAAAGTCAAATACGCACAAATACACATATCATATATATATATATATTCAAAATCCTAATATTTGGGATTTGTTATTACGTGCTATGTTCACAAAAACACCAAGATGTCACTCAAGGAATATCTCTAACTTGAATTACAAAAAAATTAAATTAATATATAACAACAAATCTAGTATTTCCAAATAAAATATATGTGATTCCATGGATATAAAATGTATAGTCATAAGTTAACTCTTTTTCAACTTTGTATGTAGGTTGGATGCATTTTAGAATATGATATCACATTATAAAACATTATAAAAATATATGTCAAAAAATTGAGCACAACTCAAAATTGATGAATTCAATTTAATTTCATTTTCAAGAAAGCAATTCATCCGATTGCATATGATCAATATTCTATGATAGTAGGAAAAAAAATCTATAAAATTGAAAAAATCTAAAAAGTAAAATGTTTATTCATATTATATCAAAATGTCATTTAATTCTATTTTCAAGTAAAAAAATTTAAATATTAAAAACATGGATTGAAAAATCAATTGAAATTTTTCACATTGAAAAATTAAAATGAAAATTTTTGCTTTGTAAATACAGAGGGTTTGGAATGAAGATTGCAACAAATTGCTTAACAAAATCCATGTCACTACACTATTTGAAATTTTACAAAGTTCAATTCACTTCAATTACCGAGAGAAATTCTGGTGTGTGATCATTACAAATTTGCATGTTCTAGATTCAATAATTTTAAGAAAGTAAGTAATAGCAGTTGGTAACACATACTTCACATTCCATTTCCAGAGTTTAACCTCCCAATAGAGACATACATTGATGATAGGGTTGAAAGTGGCTATTGGTACTTGTCACTCACAAGAGGAAATGAAGAACGTTGAATATAAACTCCCTATAGTGAGATACACGGATGTAACTATTTGGAGGTGTAACTCGCAAAAGTAAAATACCAAGTATTTTTACATCTATAATTGAGTTTGATTATAGATACATTCACAAAACTTTGAGTGAAACAGTCAATAATACATTATAGTATATAATGTAGTGATAGATTTTACGAAACATTAGATAGATTGAACAGGTCAGATACACATTTAAATAAACATGTCTTGCATTACACTTTCTAATCATGTATTGTAATCATGTAAATTTCTCGCTAATATTGTAATCATGTACCCCCAAATTACACTTGAATTGCTTATTATTGGATAGTACCATGTCAGTATTGTTATTTGGTGACGTACAGTTCTTGGTGGGTACATTTAATCTAATATTTCTTGAATTTATTATCACCAAGGAGAAGATGCCACTCATACAAGGGACCCTATTGGAAGGTTAAATTCTGTGCATGACGTAAGAAGAACATGAGATAAAGCACATACATACAAAGAATAACAAAAGGGTTGGTACAGTCAACGAATGTGAATGATGTACCGTATGATCATCGCTTCTTGATTGCACAAAAGAAGCAAAAACAAGGCAGTTAACTGGTTTCCAATGATTGCGGCCTGTTTACAAAAGATCTTGACGAAATCCGTTCAAGTCCGTGGCTGCAGAATGTCAAGTTCGATCGGGGTTCTCGATGTGTCACAAGGATGGAAAGACAGTGGAGTCAGTAGTGGCAGGTGACTGGGACCCAGCAGCTCAGAGTACGTACGTACGTGATGGAAATAATGCAGAATCTGAACCGTAGCATGACAGCGGAGGCAGGCCGATCTTGACCCGAACCGAACCGAACGGGCGCCGTCGGAGAGCGTTGCGTGCAGTTACTGACAGTGCGAGGGTGCAGTCCATGAGCGTGGCAGTGTAGAGGGAGGTAGGGAGGGGACGGAGGAGAGGGGAGGGGAAGATGAAAGGATGGAGAGGAGATAACATCAGTCTTCGTCGTCAAGGTGTTACAGTTTGGGTGGCATCGTCTGGATCGAAAGGATATGGCCGACCGATCCCGCTACCGCTCGCTTCGAATCACCAGCGGAGGTGGATGTGGCAGCAGCAGGAGAAGAAGCAGCAGCAGCAGCAGCAGCAGCAGGATTATGATGCACGTCGTTCAAATGCTCGCGGGAAGAAGAAGATTGAAGGCTGCGTGTCGACGTCGAACGTTCTACCATGCGGCCAAGATCGGCAACCTGACCAGCCATGACGAAGAGTCCCGCGACGACGTTGATCTTGCCATTGCAAATGCCCCGAAGCAGGAGCAGCAGCGCCGGCAGCGACGCCTGCAGCAGCAGCAGCAGCATTTAGAAGGAACATGGTGCGGGCGAGTGTGTGACGACGCACGAGGCGAACGGACGATGACATTCTTCAGCGAGCAGTTCTCAAAACGGCACCCTGAGGAGAGATTCCCGTGGGCGCAGACTGGAACAGTCGCCTGGTAGCCGGAAACAGGCCAAGTCCGGCATTGCCACGTATCTTGCTGCCGCTACTTCTTCCTGTGTGCTGCGATTGCGAGGGCAATGTGGCGACACAACCCTGTGTCATGGAAACGTTTCCTTTCTGGTGCCGATGCATGCCACACCGCCTCATTCTCCTCTCTCTGGTCTGTTCTGCAAGAGGCACCCGAGAGCACAGTAGCTCGCCTTGCCCACAGTGCCACTCACTGATCTGAATGTGCTCAAAGAATACGCACATCTCCTCCCCTCCCCTCCCCTCCCCTCCCCTGCGTTTGTGCATCGCTGGATAGGACCCCGTTCCGACCTCAAGCTGGGCCTTGACAAATCTTCCTGATCTTTCTCTCGGTCTTGAACTATTCCTGCTTCTGGCTAGCCCTCGCTTTCCCTTTACATGCAACTTCGACAGATCTGCCTGCCTCAGTTTCCTTCCGCCGTAATCAGAGGACATGACTTCAATTTCTCCTTTCTGAGTCTTGTCTTTCAATCAGACATTCCTCAACCCAGCGTCAACTGATGTTTTGAGGTATCATCAGTTGGATGTGAGTAATTTGCTCGGGTGTCGATCGAACTGCCGCCCCTTTCGCGAGTCGTTGAGCTCACGAGTTTGCCGCATTCAGCAAGCAATTATGCTCGCGGATCTGCCTATTGCTGCTAGCTATTGATCACAACTTTGTAGAATATATTGGACGCACCCTCTTTTTGTCTCCCCACATCTACCCCACAATTCAAGGAGGATAGCATTCTCGGCAGTCGATACTCAACTTGCGTCAAGATCCTCTTGAGTTGGAGAGTGTTCAAAGGAAGCACTCATAAAGCTAGTGCCGCAGAAAACCATGCTATATAGAAAACGGCTGCAGAGGTTTCGTCAGTGCTCATGACTTGCTCTTGCGAATTAGTCATATTGATGCGCTGCACTAGAAAATTTGACCTTACACAATCCGCGACCGGACGCTCAGAACAATGTTCTCAGGCAAGATGAAGAAAAGTGCAGAAATATTGGTTTTAGTTGGACTTAAGGTTCTAGCTTTCGCAGCGATCGACCCTTCCAAATGAATGCCCTTGAATTCAGATTACACGAAGGTTCGACTGCCCTGAATTGCTAAGGATGATGTTGACGAGGGCCAGAGTGAAGGCATTGGAGATGGCCAGAGTTGAGAATTGTGAACATGGACAACCTCCGAAGGCCTATTCTGCAAACAAACATGTGAAGATGGATCCCAGTTTGTGGAGCGCGTTGCCGGAGCATCTGGTCGAGAGAGTACTGGCGCGTTTGCCCTTATCGAGTTTCTTTCGCTTCCGCTCAGTTTGCAAGACTTGGAACAACCTCATGCATTCCACCACTTTCCTGCAAGCTTACTCTGAGGTTCCCAGTCAAGAGCCATGGTTTCTGATGTTCACCGATGACGACTACCGAGACGGATCCACGTACGATCCTACCCTCAACAAATGGCATCATATTCCTCTGCCAAGCTTACCGTGTGATGAGGTGTTCTTCCCTGCTGCCGCCGCAGGAGGCCTTGTCTGCCTCGGCTGCTACGACGATGGATGGAAAAGATTTGTGGTGTGCAACCCTTTGACAAAGAAGTGGAGAGAACTGCCGCCCATGCTCAACCCTCCCTTCTGCTTGTACACGGTGGGCATGGTGGTGGACAAAGAAACCAAAGCCTTCAAGGTTCTTGTGGCGGGGACGTGCGAGATCTACGAAATTTACGAATCGTCGACCAACTGCTGGAAGAAAACATGCATTCTTCCGGCGGGGTTCTACCGATGGCACCATAGCATTCTTTGCAACGGATTTCTGTACTCGAGGCGGTTCCAGTTCGATGGACTTGTTGCCTACGACATTCGGGAGGGCGTTTGGAGCCAGATCCAAGCTCCGATGCCGCATTCCTTCGATTACCACGTTCTTGTGGAGTGTCAAGGAAGACTGTACACGGTGGGAGGACTACTGAAGAACGAAATGACCAAAAGAATCTGCATTCTCGAGCTTCACACGAGCAAGTTGGAGTGGGTGGAGGTCGACCGCATGCCGAGCATGCTCTGCGATGAGTTTCTCAAAGACGGAGCATCTTTTAGTTGTACCGGATACAGTGATTTGGTTCTCATTTACATCACGGGTGGCCTCAGGGACAGGATGGTTTTGTTATATGAATTGTCGACTCGAATTTGGCGTCGCTTGCCTCGTTGCTCATTGCCAGATCACCGTATGAAAGATGGCCTCCTGGACGGCATTTCCTTCGAGCCTCGCTTAGATGCTACAGTCTAAAGGGGTATCCCCATTGTCTGTGTTACCCTCAACTATGCCCCGAGATTTTGTACAAGATCCCCCACCACAGTCATGCTTTTTTTGCCGCTATCCACCGGCAGGTTGCAGACACTAGTACATGAGTAGGAGCTCAAGAGCTTCATGTACCTCATGTGACCAATGTGCCAATTACCGAGACCCGTGAGGCTCGAAGCAATTAAATTTGTCTTTCCGGTATTTCTTTTCTGTCCGATGACACTTCTACGATGTGTCACGGCTCGGACTGTCCTTGGCTAGCCGAGCAGTTGGTATATATATGTAAGCTATGCATCCTTGTGGATAATACTATCGCTCATGCAAAATCATTTGATTTTTGATCATAGGCTTCGGTTTCAAAGTTCAAAGAGCACACGGGACAACAATCACATGCTTATACTCTGTTGTTTTTCACCACTGCGGATTCCTTATAGCCTGTATGGCATGATCTTCATTGTGATGATACTGCATAGAATACTCTATGCAATATTATTACAATGAAGATTACTTTCGCTTTCTCCTCGGCCCACACTTCTTGACTGTTTTTGAAATATAACAACTCACTATTTTTATTTCAAGACTACTTCAAAAATTACTCTAGTACAATGTTGATCTTTTTATAATAATTGAATTACTACTAAGATACTCATCCCAAATATAAAAAATGACATCTGTTTTGGAGACTTTTTTAAACTAAACTTTTTTACAAGATTTTACATTAAAATTTTCATTGTGACTTTTGAGTTTCGATTTAAAATATTGAAATACAAAGATTACAACACAAACATGACAGGTAAACGTTGGATTTTGAACTCACAGTGAACTAGTTTAAGGTAACACCCATAATCCATCCACCCTAGCACAGTATGAGATTTCTATTACACTAATCCATTGGGATGAAGGTAGTAGGATGATTACTGTACAAGTATCAACACATATCACAGAATTTGTCCACCTTCGAGTGACAATCACTTTCCAGGTTCAAGATATATTCTTGTACTTTCTCACTAATAGCGTGTTCTTCCCGACAACAAACTGCTATGAGGACATCTTTAACTCTATTGTAAAGCTACCGATCCTCACTTAAGGCTCATAAATGTCCTTTGCGACATTGTTTTGACATCATTTCTCTCACAACTTGTCACCCATTATCTTGTACTTTTTTTCCCTCTGAGTAGCATCTACACTGTAGATGCTACTCAGAGGTATACTGTAGATTCTACAGTATTCTTTACTTCAAAGGATCACTTAAAAGTTAACTTCATCATAATGAGAATCCATCCTGAGAAATCTTTTCTTCTTTAGCAAGTTAATTTGTCTCTTGAGCTATACTCTGATCTTGCAAGAGTTAATTGTTAGCATCTACAAGTTACAACTCATATTTTTTGATCCCTCACAGCGTCAAAGTAGATAGTTTAGTTTAGGTTTCAGATAGTATTTGTCTCCTCTTCGTCCCTGTTATGCTTAGGTAGGGGTATTGACTAAGGGAATTAGTCCATACCCTTCCGATCATTCTTTTCTTGCAAGTTGATTCTTTCATGTAAATAGGATATGACTCAAAAGGTGTTCTTGTGAAAAAAGGGAACAATCAGTACAGGAAAACGTTAGAACTATGTAAATACATAAGGAAAGTTCCTAATAAGTCTTTTTTGATCAAATGTGTGATCAACAATGCCTAGTAAAGAGTCATCTATGACGCCAATATAAAAAGTAATCGTTTGAAAAACTAATTGTGTTGAATTGGAAAATGCAACACACGTTAAGTAAGCATGACAATGAAGTATTTCTTGACAAATTAAGTATCAATATCTTTTATTGAAGAAAAATTTGTATCATGTGTAATTTAAATCAGATAAATAATTGTTGCAAATGGATCCGTTTGTAAATTTGAGGAGATTTTGTCAATTCTAGAAAATCAAATCATTTACTTCATCATTTCATCATCAATAAAGTTCACCAATCGCATTAGATAATACAACTGCAGAGACATTCTTTGAGCTAGAGGCTATATATATATATATATATATATATATGTCATAAAGATGGAAAATTGGAATTTTGATTGAAGTTAAGATCCATGTATTTGCTCATTGGTATATTTCAAAAATATACCAATGAATAAAGCAGATGTATTATGTAATTCATAAAAAAAATATGTTGATGTTAACATGTATGTATTATATAAATCTTATTTATGTAAAAATTTTATCGTATTTTCATATGCAAATGGTTCAGTATGCTCAGTTCAAATGCAAATGCAAATGCAAATTTTCAAATGCAAATGCTCAGTTCATATTTTCTTCTATCACATAATTTTTCCCTAATAATTAAAGCTCACTTGAAATGTATACAATATTAGATTACAATACAAGTATGAGCAAGGCAACTCTGGGGATAGATTCTATTTTATGCGTTACTTTGAGGATAGATGTGGAAAAATGTAAAGGTTTGAGAATGACAATGTTTCATAAGAGAATGTAAAGGTTTGTGGTTTTATTAAAGAGATTTAATTCCTTTTTATCCAAATTTATTTGGTTTGTATTTACTTTCTGGAAAGCTTCTGAAATGACATTATCCTTTCCAATATTCAAGGTCTTGCATACAGAGCAAGGAACAATTTTTTCTTTCCATGTCCTATGACGCAATCCACTCTTTCACAAGAGTAGATTTGGAATATGGTAACATATTTTAGCCGCGGGTAGCACGAGTGGTAAACATACCCTGCAACAACTGTTTTGGATATACTAGAAATATCAGAACGTCACCATCTTCTCTTTACCAGGAAAATTTTATCCATAATGATGAAACGGCTGTGGGAAGAAACTTACTGTACATTTTTTCTGTCAATAGTTGCATAATTTATTAAAGTTATTGTGTTTCCATCACTCTATGTGATGTTTTAGCTAATGTTGTCCACCAGATAACATGTTGTGGATGTAGTAACAGTATAATCAGTTACTTATAATACATTATTTTCAGAGCTCTATGTAATCCCTTAGCTCATTTTGTCCATCAGAGAACAAATTGTGGATATTATAATAGTATATAGTCTACTAATACTACCTTTGACATATTAAGACGTAGTCAAGACATTGACGGTGGGTGCGAAATGCCCTACAATCTCGTGCCGGAAAGAAACCACCCCTCTTTTTGCTCAGACAGTCTCGGACACTTCAGACACGCTTTCATACATATGGCTGCAGTCCAGTCTGAATAGTTTCTATCTCCGTTTTATGTATGAAAAGGTTTTTGGCCCATTGTGATGGTTTCAGAACCTATCCCTAGGTTCAAGTTTGCTACTTCACTCAATGGCCCTTCGAATTTGGAGAAAATCAGAAGGGGCACCGAGTGACATTTTTATTGGATACATAAATACAACATATGCTAAATAAGACATGGGGAGGAGGGCTTTGCAACTTTTATAGTTCTATTTTGGTAATCCTCACAGGAGTTCCCCTCGCTGTTCTTGGCGTTGGGTTACGAATGATAGGCTCATCGGGATGTGTTAAAGACCACTGGTAGTTCTTTACAAGGTGGTGAACAAATACCAGCATTTCCATCTTTGCAAAATCGTAGCCAGGGCATATGCGTGGCCCTCCTCCGAAAGGAACATATGTGAAAGGTATGGGCGGCGATTCGAACCTTGATGGATCGAAGCAATCCGGGTTTGGGAAAAATGCAGGGTCATAGTGCGAATGCTGATTGGTCCACATAATCTGCAAAGCCAATTAAAAGTTCAGCAGGCAGATCATAAGATCCAATTCAGAATGGGAAAGCTATACAGTAACATGCTTCTAGTTCCTTCGCTTCATAGGACGATTAAATCATATGGGTGAAAGGTGGGAAGCATTACATACCTTCCAGCCCTTGGGAATGGTGTAACCATTGTACTCAAGGTCGATGATTGCGTCTCTGAATGCGCCATTAACGGAAGGCTGCACACGAAGCGTTTCTTGTATCACCCTCCAAGTGTATTTCATGGCACTCAAATCCTCCACCCTTAGCATATCGCTCTCTCCCCTCATTCTCTTTGACTCCACGATCTCCTTCTGCTCTGTGTGTTGCACCACTCATCAATCACTTCCTCTATCACTCGCCCATGATTACGAACGAAAGAGAAAACGGCCACGCATGGAATAGACGGGCAAAATGACAAAATGATTTCGAACAAAGCACTTTGACCAACAAGATTCCCATCTGAGTTTCAAAACAATATCGAAAAAACCTCCGCTAGATGTCCAAGTAAAAACACGTCGAATTAATCAGCAACACAGAGAAAAAGCTCTGTTAGGACCAGGAGAGAAACTGGTAACACCCACGCTTACCGAGCTAACGGTATATTAGATCATATCAACGTGCAACATACCAACATATTACGTTCTGAAAATATATTATCCATGAAGAAAGCATGCGTGTGTGTGTATATATATATATATATATATATATCACTTTTCTCCCAATCAACAAGTCTCAAAAAAACAGAAATGAGAATGTCTATAAATCTTATAGGGTGAGACCTTCAGGTTCTAAAGCAGAAGTAAAGTCATGTGCCTCGTAACGTCTGTGTAGGATGATATAAAGAAACGTTATATACTAGGTTAATTCACTCTATTGCACTTAGAAAGGTTTCACCTAATCAGAGTAGACTGCCAAAATGAAGACATATGCAGTACTAAAATGTCTCCTGCTGAAGCCGCCAGTTCATTGGCGATATGCACAGCGAAATCTAAGTATTGTTGCTATCTAGGAACGGAGTGTCCGGTGCAATGCCCAGACGACATGGATATTGGAACCAAGGTATACCGTGTCCTTGTCGTGTCCTTGGACTCTTGTCTACTGCCAGCGAATTACACCTACAACTGACAAATGACTTTGATGACGTGGAAAGACCTTGAGAGGAACAGACATCAGCATTTATTATGGGTGGTGCTGTCAATGACGATAGAACGGTTAGTGTCCTGAAGCTAGGAGTAAGTGGGGAATGTAACGCAGAAAGAAGTACGTGGGGAATACATGGCAATGGTACAAAGACGGGCTGTGCCGACAGGTATGAAGAGGAGACATGAATATCAATTGCGATGGGAAGACCCCATCAAGTGAACAAGGAACAAACTTGATGAAATTAAAGTTAGTACGGAAAATTCATAGAATTGAGAAGGTGGGCATGGAAAGTTCTGCATGAGCGACACAGACGTTCCGGAACATCCAACTAGGAGTAGACATCAGCTTAGAATGAGACGCGAATCGTGGGCGTCCGGCGTGATCGAAGGCACTCAATCTAGGTGTGACGGCTGGCGATCCTGCTGCCAATCCAGGAGAAAACATGTTTGAAGGCGGAATGGACGTAGATCTAGCCCCTTGACCACGTTGCATCCGTGTGTTCAACTGGCGTTTAAGGCACGTCGTCGCTCAACGAATTACGCTGCTCAAGCAACTGCGGATTGTGAAAGTTCTTGTAGCCTTCTCAATCGTTGCTATTTAATAAGCTCTGTAGAAAAGGTAAGACGAAAAGATTTTGTCTCCATGCAAAGGGACAAATTCCTGTCCTCACTTTTTCACTGAAATTTCTGGTAAAACCAAAAATCCTCGCAGGCTTTTCAAAAGCAACAAGTCAGGAGTTTGGCAGAACTTTCAATGGACGGGACGGAGGAACCACATGATATCCGATCAGAACGATCCTGACAACGACACTCTTGTAGTATAGAGCATCATCCAAGCTGCGAGTCAATCTCGACACCCTACACCCAATCATGGATCTACAAGGAGCTAGAAGGTCGATGCGGCAGTCGGAACTATAAATCTCTTCAGTGACCTTGACAAAATCCAACTGCACTCAATGTAATGCTTTGTTCATCAATCATCAGCAAAGGGATTTAAGGAAAACTCAGCTACGATAACTGTTAACGCAGTTCATTCAATATCAAGAATAAGACGAAAGAAGTTCAGGATTGTTCGACCTAATGAGACGTATTAGAAGGAAGACTTAGAATTTGTCAGGCGCGACCACATTCTTCAGTCCAACCCGGCAACGAAATCGCCACCAGCAGGAACAAAGCTGTTGATCGTCTTACACAATATTAAATACTCTCTCACTCCTTTGTACTCAAGCTTGTCCCTAGCTTAACATACAAGTTCAAGGTTCTACCTGAAGATTCACCTGCCTGTCGTTACGTCTAGATCGAAGAGCCTTGCTGATAGACACTATGAAACCAGATTATAGTTGAAAAACTCAAAAGAAAGGATGATCAGCAGCATTACAAAAGGCTCCGTGACAGTGTAAGACAGACCATGGAACGAGGACTTTGTCGCGGAAGTCTGCAGTGACTGCAACGAACATCCATCCATGTCCACGCAGTGAAACCAAATTATAGTTGAAAAACGCGACAGAAAGGACGATCAGCAGCATTACAAAAGGCTCCGTGACAATGTAATGCAGACCATGGAACGATGACTTTGTCGCGGAACTCTGCAATAATTGCAACTAACATCCATCCACACGTCCACACGTAATCATGTGCTGCCAGAGACAAAAGTCGTATCCAGCAAGCCTAACAAGTATAATACAGGGCTGATATAAAATACATAGAAGGATTCTGAGTCATCCACGCCCTAAAGCCGAAAGGCTTCACGCGACTTGTACGGTAATCTAGCGTCACGCAGTCGGGATGCTGTACGAAAATTGGAGCCTACATGCTTAGAACGTTAACTGTTGATGGAGAAGTGACGATCTCCAACGATAAAAATTGGTGAGCATTGAAAATGTTCGCACTTCAAGTTCCCAAAGTGGATCACTTGATCGAGCACAACGTTGCTACGTCGCAGTTAGTCTCAGAACGAGCCTATAGGCATGAAATAGACAGAACGTACTTCGCGCAGCTGTTTGAGAAGTCGCTGCATTATTAGTATAGTACATCTCCACTTGCGCAGTACCCTCGAAGGATTATTCACATGTTGAGCTTAAATTTAAATGGGGACGAAGCAAAGAACGCAGGACATTCTCAAGACATTGCTTATGTGTATGAAGTCTCAAGCCTTTCTGTACAAATAATTGAGTCGATATTTCCGTTGTTGAGGCTGTGGACAGATGCGAAGAGAAAGGGGAAAGAAGTGAGAGGAACGCATGAGAGGATTGTTGAATACCTTTGAGAAGTAACTCGTAAACTTGAGGATTTTTGGAGACGAAAGTTATCACCATGGTCAACGCAACGCTGCTCGTTTCGAAACCTGCGAACATGAAGAGGAGCAGGTTGTCCTTTATCTCTTCATCACTGTAAAACCGCCCGGCTTCATCAGGTACTGTCAACAGATTGGTCAGCAAGTCTGGGTGGGCGTTGCCTTCGGCCAGTTCCTGTCTCCTGCGCGTGATGATCACTTCATACATCTCCAACAAACGTTCCCTTGCCTTCCGCGCGTCGTAATAAGCGAATCCAGGAAAATTTATCGGTGCCTTCAAGATACCGAACGAGTACTGCTTCATGCACACACGCAACTCTTGCAGCTCGGGCTCATCAGGCAGACCGAGCAGCAGATCACATATTATGTCGAACGTGTATATAGTGGCCATTAGCAAAGACGAGAGCTCTTCGTGTCCTTTCCAGTGTGTAGCGAAATGCTTCGATGCGACCTCATCTACTCGTGCCAAATAAGCCATCGTCGCCTTCTGGTCAAAAAACCCAGCAATATAACGGCGAGCGAGCTTGTACTCCTCCCCTTGTTTCTTCGTCAGCGAGGTCTCGCCCAAGAGAGCTGACACGGATGCTGGCCAGGCATTCTCCACCAATTTTCCCTCATTATGAAAGAGAAACTTGTTGCCCGCCGGCGGGTCCAGGAAAACCACCGGCGATCCCAAAAGATGCGACTTAAATACAGGCCCATGCTTCTTTCTTCTTTCACTAATAAATTTGATGAGGCCATCCTTCCTGGTCATAGCTAAAGCAAACTGAATCGTTTCTCCAGCCAGCGGCAGTCCAGTGCTTCCGGGCGGCGTCGGACGACGACCTTCGGGCCTCGCCTTTGCTGACAGGGAAGAGAAAATCCACAAAATCGTCGGTATGACGATAATGATGGAGATGATAATGGTCGCAGCTGAAAATCCATCCAGTGACGAACTGAGTCCGTTCCACATCTCACTCCATGCACCTCCAGCACCCATGCTGAGATTCTCGTGTCAGTGGAAATGAGAAATGCAACTCGGCTGCGGATGCCGCTGTCTCAAATACGAGGAAAAGTAAGTTTGATCGGGCACCCGCCTCCGGACTCGAACTGGCCAGGTAAGGCCTCTGGAATGTTGTGGATGAAACAGTTCGAGCTCTTCTTCATCACACGAATCACGAACGACGAACGACTTGAAGTATTTTGAAAGCAAGCGCTATGTGTACGTGCTGACGAGTTCCGGAAAGATCCTGTGTAAGGTGTAAGGCTGCGGCCCATCCAATTGCGATCCATGTCTGAACCCGGCACTGGGTTGTAGTATTTTAATTTATTCAAGAATTTCCATGCATTCCAGAGAGCAGGACCACGACGGAACGCGGGGCGAGTGGAATGATCTCAGAGCCCGGATTAATACTCATTCTCCCTAGTGTATAAATGGCCAAGTTTGACATTCAGGTACACTGGCGTCTAATTTGAGTGGGCTTGAATCTCACAGCTTCCTTACATACTAATAGATTAGACATCTTAAGTTAACTTGAAATAATCAAGATCTAAAGTATCGTCAAACAATTTTGACTTTGATTCATGTTTTGCAGTATGTATAAATTAAATAAATATGATTAATCTATAATAAAGTCTTGAAAGAAGTTTGATATACACTCTATGTAAACAAAAGCTTATTAGAAATTAAACCAAAATCAAGACGAGATAGATTGAAATTTCATTTATTGATTTATCAACTAATTAGTTCTACTTGTTTTTTTTGTGCAAAAGTTTCAATGCAATACAATGTTTTTAAAGATAAAAATATACTCAATGCTTAAGCTAAAGTGAGGCAATCGTCATATTCACTAACTTGAACTTTTATTGAAAACTACAAATCTATTAAAGTTATCTCAATATAAATCACTCTACTATTCATCACATTATTTGCTGTAATAAGGAATTCAATCTCACTATCACAATGAACATAGATGACAATTAGTTTCAATATAATACAAATGAAGATTATATTCAACCAATTAAACTCCTCATGTAGTTTCAATTTTATCTAATTGATGATTGTATTCAATCAAATCATCTTCTTTTCGGATTTTGTAATTGCTTCATAGTTGTCTTACGTTATTGAGTAAGCTATACATTTTTCCAAAATAGATTTCAAATTGATGCAATTACTATAAAGTATAAACACACTTTGTTTTTTAGATCTGTTGTTTTGCCAAGATCTTGTCCATACTCAATATCAACAAAGTAAAACGATTGTCTTTGTTTAATAAATTTTTGAACAAAATGTTATAATCTTGAAGACTATCTATGTATTTTAACATCCACTTCATAGTTTTTCAATGAATGATACATAAATGTGATATGTAGCTGTTCTTTTTACTAGTAGTCACAACAACATAAGAATTAAGTGCATATCGTTAGATTTATGAAACTAACAAGTAATTATTCATGAATTATTGAAAAGAAAACTTTTTCAAAAACATTGATTGAATATTAAGTTATAAAAAGTTTGATGTGTGTTCCCAAAAAAATTTATATTATGTTCAAAAATATCATGTTAAACTGGAATGAGTATTGACTAAGCCATAATCTTCTTGTAATTTCTATGAACATTCATGTAACCATCTTAAGTTAGTTAGAATTAAAGTAGAGGTTACTCTAAATATTGATATAGATACTTTAGTGTGCACTAGTCATAGCTGCCACGTCAGCAATCCGCGCACTTGGTACGTATAGAGTGGATGTGTTAGTTGACAGTGTCACATCAGCAATACGTGTGCTTGTAAGTAAGGATTGTGTGTGTTAGTTAGTGTGTTAGTTGAGAGCTGCAACCTCCGGGCTGACTCTCACTCAGGTTTACCTCTGATGGCTTTGTGGTAGCGCATCATGGTTCTAGAAGACTAGGATTCATACTCTCACTCTTGTCCCAAACACCTTCTCTCACACACTCTTATGTATCACTCCAACTCACACACAAACTCTCTTCACATCGCCCTCTTCACATAAACTCAAACACACGTCGATACTCCAAGATACTCAAAAACTTCACTCCTTCATTACTGAAACAAGTCCTCACACATGACTCTCCAAACTTGCTTGAGAGGTGCTACTCTACCTCTCTATTTATACTACTTGAGAAGTTACCATAGTAACATGTGGTAATTTCTCCTAACTTACTTTTACCTAGGTAAGTTTGACTAACCTTCTCTACGTGGCAACATGCCATTGGCCTACCTAAACCTTCTAGAAGCTTCCGGAATCCAAGGTTGAGGTGGCGACATGCCATTTGAAGCTTTTAAACTTCTACAAGCTTCCTAGCCACTAAGTCAACATTAGACTTAGTCTAGCCAATCATCTTTCATACATTTAGTCAAACCAATCAAATCCAAGCTTCTAGTCAAATATCTAATCACTTGGAATCTAGAACTTTTGTATAAGACAAAATAGAAATGCTCACTCCTTGTAAAAGACAAAATAGAAGTGCTCACTCCATTATTCTAGAACTCCGCTAATTATTCCGCCAACTATAGACATTGTAGCTAAACTTAGTCATGACTAGATAAACTTAGTTATAACTAACTAGTTTAGTCATAACTAGCTAGTCTTAGCTATGCCTTGGCTAATCATCCTTATTCCCCTGACCACTTCTAAGACTTAGTACATATGTGCAACACCCGGTCTTACATTTACCCCTGGACCAAGATTTCACTACGCCATCGGAGTGAAAGAATCTGATCTTCGATGGAATAACTTCAACTTGTCGTGGTTGACTCGATCGAAGTGACGTCCTTCTAACTCCTTGATGTCATAAGTGAAATTTCCCCAAACCTTCTCAACTATGAAAGGTCCAAAATACTTAGGAAGAAACTTTTTCCTAGCTCTCTTGTATCTAATTGCATCAAAGAGCATCACCCAATCACCTTCCTTGAACGGCTTCAAGTTCTGGTTTCCACTTCATTTGTCGTGATACTTCTTCTGCAACTGTTGAGCCCGCTCCACTCGTACCATGGCTAGTGCTTCGAGCTTCGAGTACTCCATCAATTGTTGTTGGCGAGACTTGATGGCTTCTGCTCCATTTGATTTCTTCAACCTTTGCTGGATTGTTGTGAATGTTGTCAAGTCAAACTGTATGGGAAGTTTTGACTCAACTCCATACACCATCCGAAAAGGTGAGTATCCGGTAGATGTCTTCCATGTTGTGCGATACTCCCATAAGATAGCATGGAGCCTCTTATCCCAATTGTGTTTACTCCCGTCCATGTCTGCATCCTTGGCCAACATCATACACAAAGTGTAGTTGGTCCGCTCCGCCAACCCGTTAGCGTTAGGTTTGTAGGAAGTGGTCACTCGAGCCTTGATGGAAAAGTGCTCCAACATGGCTTGAATCATACTTCCCACAAATTCTCCTCCTCTATCTGATACTAACTCCAATGGACAACCAAATCGAGTAATGATTCTCTCATACAAAAATCTACCAACCTCCTTCTCATTAGTAGATTTAAGTGGTCTTGCCTCTACCCACTTCGTAAGATAATCTGTAGCTATCACAATGAACTTATTTCCTCGAGGAATAAGATTCAAAGGACCTACAAAATCTATTCCCCACTTTTCAAAAGGACCTAACACTGGTACAGAAATCATAGGAGGGATTTTCATGGACTTTTTAGCAAAAGCTTGACACACATCACAACTTTTGCAATATTCCACACAATCCTTAAAAATACCCTTCCAATGATAACCAGCATCAAGAATTTTGAAGGCAGTTACCTTCCCCGCAAAATGTACTCCACATACTGCACCATCATGAAACTCCTTCATGAGTTGTTGTGCCTCTCCTCTCCCAACCGCCCTTCGTAGAAGTCCGTCAGCTCCTTGATGAAAAAGTACCTTCTCCATGATCATATAAGGTTGACATCTCTTCACTAACGCATTTTTCTCCCTTTGATGCATTCCTTGAGGAAACTCTCCTCTAGAGATGAAATCCCAAATTTCCTTGTACTCCTCCGGTACTGTTGTCACCGTGTCCATGACTAGCAAGTCCTCATCCGGAAAGGTGTCATCTACTGACTGATCTCCTCCATCATCATATGCTCTCGACATCAAATCCGCATTAGCATGCTTCTTTCCAGGTCTATCCTCAATGGTATAATCAAACTCTGCTAGTAGTAGCTTCCATCTAGCTATCCTCCCTTCAGCATTAGGCTTGTTGAAAATGTATTTCAAAGCCTTATGATCAGTCACTATAGTGAATCTCCCACCCAACAAATAATGTCGAAACTTCTTAAGTGAGAAGATTACAGCTAAGGCCTCTCTCTCTGTCACCGAGTAGTTCTTCTCCGCTTGAACCATTTGTCTACTAGCATAGGCAATTGGATGATCATGCTTTTCATCATCTAATTGACTCAGGGTGCATCCTACAGCAATATTTGATGCATTTGTGTAGAGAATGAAAGGTTTACCCCAATCCGGTTTCGCCAAAATTGGAGCCGTCACCAACGCCTTCTTGAGAACTTCGAACGCCGTCTTTGCAGCTTCATCCTTGAAAATGAGTTCGTACTCCACTCCCTTCTTCATGTAATTCGTCAAGGCATGAGCTTTGTTGGAGAAGGACAAGATGAACCGTCGATAGTACCCCACCATACCAAGGAATTGCCTCAACTTGGTTAAAGTCGCCGGAAAAGGTAACTCCATGATCCGTGTCACCTTCTCTGGATCCACCGCTATACCATTCTTGGAGATGATATGCCCCAACAATAGGCCTTCCTCACATCCAAAAATGCATTTTTCTGGATTGAGTGAAGCCTTAGCTTCCTCCAGCCGTTGAAGTATTTTGATCAAATGATCGAAATGATCCGCTTTCCTCCCGTAAACGCAAAAATCATCTATGAAATCCCTTACAAACTTTCCAATGAAAGGTTCAAACACTCTATTCATGAACCTTTGAAAAGTGGCAGGAGCATTACATAGACCAAACGGCATCACTCTAAAAGCGAAGGTTCCCCATGGAGTGGTAAAAGTTGTTTTGAGTTGGTCTTCTAAGGCAATTTGGATTTGGTTATAGCCACTATAACTATCTCCAAAACTATACCACTCATGGCCAGCAACCTCCTCTAGAATCTCATCTATGAAAG